TCCCGGGGAACGTCCACCCAAAAGGGACTGCCAGTCGCCTCTCTGGCTTTTTGGACATCTCTGGAATAGTCTAAAGCAAAAGAGGACTTTTAAAAAACCTAGGTTTCCTGGTCCTTTCATGTCCACTTCACAGGTGCTTTACAATAATTACCTCCTGGGTGCTAATAGCATCCTTCCAATGCCATGAGCACACCTGCTACCAGTTGTGTGATCTGTTGTCATCAACAGCTGCTTCTTAAAAAGGATTTATGGTAAACTCTTGCTCCTCAGCTGGCTCAGTGGTGAAGAATCTGCCTTCCCATGAAGGAGATGCAGGTTCGATCCCTGAGTCAGGAAGGTCCCCTGGAGGAGGAAATGGTGACCCATTCCAGTACTCTTGCTGGAAAATTCCATGAACAAAGGAGCTTGATGGGCTACAGTCCATGGGGTTGCAAAGAGGCAGACACATCTGAGCATGCATGCATGCATGGTAAACTCTTGGGAAGTAAAGATTCTGCCCTTCAGAATCTTGAGTGAATGGAACGCCTGGATGAGATGCTTCTGTAATTAAGCTTGTGAATGGTCTGGGCAATTGTTGGCGGAGCCTGTGCTTGGAGAGCCAGAGTCATTCATCTGTAGCAACGTTTCATTGCTACGAACTTCTGTACAGTTAGCTTTGAATCTTCTTTAGAGGGGCTCAGGTACCAGTGTCAATGAGTTTGCCTTGCGACTGGGAATCATGGAAACAGAGAAGGCAGTAATTACACTGTGTTGAAAATTTAGGTGGCATGTGTTAGCAGTTGAGGAAGTGACAAAGAGAGATGTAATGAGACATTCCCATTCAGAAACTGCGCATTCCCAAAGATGACATGACTGAGAAGGAAGCTGTAACAATCAATGTTCAATACATCAGACCTGTGTTACTCCTTAGTTTTTTCAACCCTCTAATCAGCTTTCATTTGCTCTCATTAGATCATGAGCCCATGGGAGAATATAGCTGCTTAAGAACCAGAAATTCCTCTAATACTGATAGTATATTGAGGCAGTAACACAATTCCAGACCCATTCACTTACGAATCTATAGCATATAGGACTGGTCGTTAAAAGAATAGGACAGAATGATGACTAGAGAAAGTGTCTACAGAATGCCTTTCTGTTTACTAAACATTAACACTTTTAAAAAAAATCATCTATTTTCCTGTCTTCATAAAAGCATATTCGGAGGATGGACTTTCTAGGTGATGGTAGTAGTAAAAAATCTGCCTGCTGATGCAGGAGACATAAGAGACTGTTTTGACCCCTGGGTTGGGAAGATCCTTTGGAGAAGGAAATGGCAACCTACTCCAGTATTCTTGCCTGGGAAACCCCACAGATAGAGGAGCCTGGCCAACTTCTGTTTATGGGGTCACACACAGTCAGACATGACTGAAGCGACTTAGCATGCAGGCATTCTGAGGACATGATGATGTGAATATAAGTCTTGGTCTTGAGATTTCTTTCATCTGTTCAGCCTCCTGTTACTTCATAGGAGACGGCAAGAGAGAGTTTCTAGAATGTGGGTATAAGGGCTTAATGATGACCCATTTGGGAATATTTGGGAAAAGTGATGCCCTTCAAGTGATTTCAGAGAAGAGCCCAATTCTTTCAATCTCTCTAATCTGCTGTCCTCAGATTTGACTTCAATTTATTCTGGTCCCATGGTGGTTGTCTTCTGGCTGCCAGGAACCACGCTTCCATGATTGTATTCAGCTGAACAGAAACACAAACCCAAGACCTGTCCTTCTGATGTAAGTGTATGAATTTTTTCTCCCACTTTTCTTAGCTATATTATTTGGTTTTTACTTCTTATAAGAAGACATTGCTTTTGCCATTATTAAGAAATATTGGCTACACATTAAAGAAGATGAATTTATTAAAGCAAAATGTTACCAGTTTCATAGTAGGCTGGTAGACTGTATCAGAAAGACAACAGTGGTGCGGTATTTGCAGAGCTATAACCTCTTCCATAATCTAGCCACCGCTGCTCCCCTTCTCCCCCAAGATATGGGGCCTATTTCCACCCTTGTCCCCCTGGAACTGAGCAATAGTTTGCAATTGCACTGACTAGTGGAATCCTTCTTGACTTTTGTGCCTGGTTGTTTATCTTGGGACATACACTTTGGGAACCTTGAGATGACCTCTGAAGGCATTTCTAAAGCATCTCCTCTGGACAGCACACGTGGAGAGACCTCACAGGATGACTGTGTGCGTGCCTGCTTCGCCGCTCAGTCGTGTCTGACTCCTTGCGACCCCACGGACTGTAGCCCTCCAGGCTCCTCTGTCCATGGAATTTTCCAGGCGAGAATACTGGAGTGGGTTGCCATATCCTCTGAAAGGGGATCTTCCGGACCCAGGTATCGAACCCATGTCTCCTGCATCTCTTGCACTGGCAGATGGATTCTTCACTGCTGACACACCTGAGAAGCCCAGGGGTGTCTGCGGGGCTGCAGCCTTCCTGGCCCTCAGCTACTCAGGCCCAAGAACTGGGCATTTACATGACTGAGTTGTTAAGTAAGTCCAGCTTCCAGTCTCTGAGCTTCAGTGGCTGATTCTGAGTGGAGCAGAGCTGACTTGTCCTCAGGGAGTCCAGCCCTGACTGCAAATTTCCTGAGTGAAAACACCATGTCTTCATATAGTCAAACCTCATTTCTCAGGGGCATAGCTCTCAGATACAGGGAGAAAGCATCAGTCACTGAAGAATAGCTGAAGTAAGAGCAATAGACCAAATAAATTTATACATGCATATATACATTATATGAGGGTTTCCCTGGTGGCCCAGTGGTAAAGAATCCACCTGCCAATGCAGAAGATGTGGGTTCAGTTCCTGGGTCAGGAAGATTCCCTGGAGAAGAAAATGGTTACCCACTCCAGTATTCTTGCCTGGGAAATCCCATGGACAGAGGAGCCTGGTGGGCTACAATCCATGGGGTGGCAAAGAGTCAGACATGACTTAACCACTGAATAAGAACATTATATATATATATGAACTTAAGGACTTTCATTTTTTCATAGCATTTTTCCATAATGTCTGAGTCTTATTAACAAAAATTGGATTGTTACTGGTTAACCTTATCATCAAGTATGAAGTGACATCTTGGGTCATCCTCATTCTCCTAAACCTGTCTGATATTTTGTTGTCTAACTCATGATTGACAATGAGGACTGAAATAGTTAATCATGGTATTAAAATTGAATCAGTATAAAAATCTTACCATTTTCATAGGGGTAGAGTTTAAGTGTTCCTTAAAGTGGTCCTACTCCTATGAAAATATTAAGATATTTTATAGTTGGTGCTAGTGGTGAAGAACCCACCTACCAATGCCAGAGACATAAGAAATGTGGATTCAATCCCTGGGTTGGGAAGATCCTCTGGAGGAGGGAATGGCTGGCGACCCACTCCAGTATTCTTGCCTGGAAAATTCCATGGACAGTGGAGCCTGGCAGGCTACAGTTCATGGGATTGCAAAGAGGCAGACATAACTGAAGCGACTTAGCACACACACACACATTAGGTGTTCTATTAGGCCCTGGTGATCAAAGCTCTCAAGTGAAAAAAAATTTTTTTTCATATATAGTATTTTGATTTCACATTCTATTGAATATATTGGGTATATATATGGTCCACCAGAAGGACTGAAAGGAAATTTCTATCTCCTTTTTTTGGTCTCTTTTCCTCTGAAAGACACCAGTCCCATTTCAGTAGACAATCCAAGGTCTGGAGGCTCTTGTTGACCCAAGAGGCAGACACTTATGGGGGTAGGGTCACACTTGGGCACTTCAGCACAATGAAAGCAAAAGCAATGTTTCTTGCCACTTCGGACTTTTGCCCAACACACCCACGTTATTAATAGTAAATCATCTGCAGATCAACCTTTATTGCCAAAGAGGACGGGCTCTGGCGACGTCACACTTCAGATAAAACCTCATCTGTCTATCATCTATCGATCTATCATCTGTCTATCCCTCTATTCCTCTTTCTACCTATAATCTATCATCATCTGTCCTTTCTTTCTCTCCCTGTGTTTGTGTGAGTGTGAGAAAATGATGAAAAGAAGGAAAACCTGAGTAACTATGGACATTTTGAACTGACTTTCTCCTAGCTCTAACTCTGGCTCTGGAGGCTTCTAGCTGAATCCTTTCACGTCAGCCTGGTGCAAGGTGCTCTCATAGAACCACAGGCAGCAGAGACACCTGTCTTCAAAGGTTGCCAGTGCTGGACTGCACACTCAGAGTCACAGGAAATACACAGCTCCTGCTAGGATAAGGCTCTGGGACACGCATTAACTTCTCCCTGCACAACTCAAGCCTGGGAATGAGTCCTACTGATTCCTTTTGGAGAAGCTAAACCAGCTATTCAGTCATGCACAAATCACGTCTACACCTCGTCTCTGCCTTGATGAGCTTTACCATTTCATTCTATGACAGGAATGGAATGGAAACTCTGTCCTTGAAGCTACATATTTCCCTCTCTCTACAGGGGCTGGGGACCCCCCTGGTGGCTCAGACGGTTAAGTGTCTGCCTACAATGTGGGAGACCCGGGTTCGACCCCTGGGTCGGGAAGATCCTCTGGAGAAGGAAATGGCAACCCTCTCCAGCACTCTTCCCTGGAAAATCCCGTGGACAGAGGTGCCTGGTAGGCTACAGTCCATGGGATTGCAAAGAGTAGGACACGACTGAGCGACTAAACTTTCACTTGCACAGGGGCTGGAGCCTTCCTGGGAAGGGACTAAAAAATGTGTTTTCCTATAGTAAATAATACAAGAAGGTCCAACTTGTGAGTAACTGTAGGACAATTGATATGAAAATGTCTGTCTCCTGCTCTGTCCTGGAAATGACTTTTGTGTTTGCACAACTATGCACGAACAAGAAATCTTTTGGTTGCTATTAAATTTGGAGAAAGAACCGTGAATTTTAGACTCTGAGCTGAATTAAACTATGTAGAAGCAAAGGGGAGAAAGTTTTAAAGGAAGATGGCAGCCAATTTCTTTTGTTATTTAATGTTTTATTTTTTCAAGAACAGTTAACATTTACTAGGCACCTATTGGCCTCAGTCACTTGCATCTAAAGAGCAAAGCTAAGTTACCCCCAGCCCGTGTCCTTTTGAATGGTTAGCCTTAACTTCTTAGCTCTGTTAACCACTATTCTACCATTAGCTTCAAGTTCGCTTTTAATCATCTAAATCTGTAATTGTCTACTGCTCCCTGCCACAGGAACAAAAAAGTGTTGGGGGGGAATAAGGTGAGCAGTTTACATTTTCTGTGGATATTTCAAGTAATTGGCCTCAAAGTGAAATTATTGAGTTGGCCATGGTTTTATCATGTTCTGAGGGCATTAAACATGAAAGGAAATGGGCCCGTAGAAAGGCTTGGTATCCAAGAACGTGTGACTATGTGAAAATCCTATAACTTTACTTCCACTGGCCTAATATCCTGAGTCACTAGATGGTCAGAGAGATAGAGTACAAAAGGAACAAACCGATGTACATTTATACTAAAAAGCAAAAACAAAGTTTGTACAAGATGAATAGCAAATGAAATTGCTTCTATCAAAATAAAATCTCACATGGGTCATTTTTGTACATACGTGGACACACACCCACACACGCACAGACACACAAGCAAGAATGCGTATTTTTGTCAGATAGGTCCTTGGAAATAGACATTCTTAGCAAATATGGATGACAGATCAATTGTAATTTATTTTCTTTTAACACTGTATCATCATAAAGAAAACTGGTATAAATGAAAAAATCTATTTCAAATATCTACATCTAAAATTTTAGGCAGTGAAAAAGCACTTTGTTGACAAGGAGTGTGGAATGATGGATGTTAATTGTCATAAACTGCTGAATGCCTTGTTTAGTTGCCACAAACAAATTCACATATCAGAACGAACAATACTGCTAAATATTCCTTTTTTTTCCCATTTTTTTTCCCTGTTAAAACTTTACTGGGAGGAAGAAAAAAGAAAAACTGGAAATCCATACATCTTTCAAAAGTTTGAAATTGAAGCAATATTTAGAACCATCGATGAGGAGTCGCCGAGGCATTGGTGTAATATACACAATGCTCTTGTCTTCTTTAATCTGTAATGTACATCGAATACTTTACAACAATGCATTAACAAAAGGCAAGAAACGTCTTGCTGTAGAGAGGAACCCCAATGCAACTTGAAGCCTAGAATCACAACGGATGAAGAGAGTAAACAAAGCGTGACAAGCCGTCCCTCTGAAGTGTGTGAACTATGTCACCGCCTCTGTGCTTATAACCTTCGTGCCCCGTCACCCCGACTGCCTCCCGTGCTGCCTTCGGCCACATCCCGCGGAAAGCACTTTTTAAGACTCTACAGCCCGAACTAGAAAGGTGTCGCCCGATGTCAGATTGAGGATCACTTTCTATTGACTTTCAAGTGAACGTTCGTGGAGCTTTCTAAAATAGCTCTTAAATGTTTCCTTCCTGGGTATCCCAGCCTTCCTATGGAACAGGCTTTAACAAACTAAATTTGCAGGGGGGAAAAAAAAATAGCAATGTCTGTGGTCTGCATGCACATGCACGGTTCCCAGGGTGCCTGCCTCACACCCAGGAGTCGGGGGAGGCCGGGTAGTGGCTCGTTTCATAGTTCAGTTCGCTGTAGGGTCGGGCGGCCGAGTAGAAATCGACGTAGTTGCCGGTGGACTTCAGCCCCAGATGCATGGTGTACTCGCTGGCGGGAGGGCGGTGGTGGACCTGGTCCTCGAAGAAGGACTCGTCGTAGTTTCTCGTGGAATTCGGAAACGGCTGGTAGGTCTCGTAATCTTTTCTGCTGGGCTCCTGTGGGGCTGGCTGTGCTGAAACCTGCCCAGGAAAGGAGAACCACCTGGGTTAGCACATCTGCCCTTGACCCGCCCTTGACCCCCGCGGCCGATGCCCTTGACCCTCCCTCAAAGTCAAGGCTCTGGCTGTTGTCCATGCAGTCGCCACCAGGACTGCACTTCCCTGATTGACTTTCTGTTTCAGAGTTGGCTCCTGAGTCCACGTGCTGTCATTCCAAGTAACCTTTTAATAAAATTACTATTCTGGCAAAGTACACATAACATAAAAGTTACCATGTTCATCATGTTCTGTATAACTCGGTGGCATTAAGTACTTAAGTTGCCTGGGCCACCGTCAAAACCAAACATTTTCATCACTGCAAACAAAAACTTATATCCATGCAGCATAAATCCCCATGTCCCCTTTTCTTAGCTCATGGCAATCACCATTCTATTGCTATTTTCCATCTCTGTGAATTTGACTAGTCTACATACCTCATAAAATTGGAATAATATAGTAGTTGTCCTTTTGTGTTTGGCTTCTTTCACTTAACCTCCCCAAAGTTATAGATTAATATAATGTCCTCAAGGTTAATCCATGTTGCAGCAAGTGAGAGAACTTCCTTGCTCTTTAAGACTAATTAATATTGTATGGAGATTCTGTGTTTGTTTACATATTCATCCATAGATGACAACTGTGGTTTCTACTTTTTGAATAATGCTGCTATGAACATGGAAGCACTAGGATTTATTTGGCTCCCTACTTTCAATTTCTGGGGGGCGGGGGCGGGTAATGCCGTAAAAGATTTGGACACAACTTGGTGACTACCCAATATTAATAGCAAAAAATGTACCAAGAAGTAGAATTGTTGGATCTGATGGCAATTCTATGTTTAATTTTTTGAGATACAGCCCAAACTTCCAAGACAGTTGAATCATTTTACCAGCTGTTGTTGTTGCTCAGTTGCTAAGTCTGTGTCTGACTCTTTGCGACTCCATGGACTGCAGCACACCAGGCTTCCCTGTCCAACACGAACTCCCAGAGGGTGCTCAAACTCATGTCCATTGAGTCAGTGATGCCATCCAACCCTCTCATCCTCTGTTGCCTCCTTCTCCTGCCCTCAATGTTTCCCAGCATCAGGGTCTTCCCCAGTGAGTTGGCTCTTCGCATCAGGTAGCCAAAGTATTGGAGCTTCAGCTTCAGTGTCAGTCCTTCCAAAGAATATTCAGGGTTGATTTCCTTTAGGATTGACTGTTCTGATCTCTTTGCTGCCCCTGGGACTCTTAACCTTTTCTAAATTACAGATGTATACACTAGATTCCACAGAACACAAATAGTTTCTATTCATCTTCCCTGCGTTTTTCTCTATCACACCTCGGTGGTGTAATCCCAGATGAAGAGAAAGTGAAGATGTACAAGGTCTCTGGGTCACTTGGGCATCTTCCTGCCAGCTCAGAGGGCTGTGGCCAATACCTCTCTGGAGAATGGAGGCTTCTTGCTAATAGGGCCATCCCATCACACCTGCCTAAGTGACGTACCACAGCCATAGAAGGAACCTATTCAAAATAGTCTACGCCAACAGTCCCCAAACTTTGTGGCACTAGGGACCCATTACATGGAAGACAACTTTTCCACAGACAGCTGTTGGGGGAAGGATGGTTTTAGGATGATTCAAATGCTTTACATTTATTGTGCACTTTTTTCTATTATTGTTACATCAGTTCCACCTCAGATCATCGGGCATGAGATCCCCAGTCTACACTCTGAAGGACCAAAATGTTTCCTAACTTGGTTCATTTAAGAATTCATGTGATGGGAATCCAAACAATAGTGTAAAGTGATTATCCTTCAATTAAAAATAAATTTTAAAAAGTTGATGGGGCTCGAGGATAACATGGGATTACGAAGCCTCTGGCTGGGGGGCAGGGGTCTTCAGAACTGACCAATGTCCTGCAGCAAAAGTGCTCCTCATTTCCACTCTTGTCCTCTGCATGTTGTTGTCTGAGCAAGGGGGGCCTCGAGGGGCTAAAGGGATCACAGGAGCCTCTTAGAGCGTGGAGAAGTCTAGAATCAGTTCTCTCCCTTCCCCTTGGCTTTAAGGACAGAAAAACAAAGAGTGTTCATAGGCTAGTAATTAGCACGTACATGTGGGGGCCTGGCTTCTATGCCTCTGGGGTGCCTTCCTCCCACAGTGAGGATAAGGCATGGGGCAAGGACCACCCTCAGGGCTGCTGCATAAAGGCATCCGCAAAACCCACAGGGAATGATGTGTGTTGGGGGGGACAGGGAAGGTCTGGTGGGAACGATGGACCCTGCCTGAAGAAGCACACTCTGATCACTCTGGAGTGGCCTGGTAATTCCCTGCTAATTTAACTAAGGCTCGGCATGGAAACATCCTCTAGACATTGGTCTTCGTTAATAGATAATGATTTGTAATTAGTATGTTGTGTGTGAATGAATGCTTCTAATGACCTGCCCATAATTCTTCTCTTAAGTAAGCAAACCTCCCTCTTTCACATGTAATTGATTTACACGAGTGAGTGAGTCGCAGACCTGCTCTTCAGAGAAGTGAACTTCATCACAGCTGCCACGCAGGAGGGTTCACACTTTCAGCTCGTGGTGGCTGAGAGAATGAGGTTCCTGTCCATCTGTGACAGTCCACAGACCTCAGTCGTGTGTCAGCCTAAGAGCCTGGGCATGAAGGGGGACTTCAGGATCTGCAATTAAACGCTGCTGAGGCCAGCTGCTCCCGACCATGGGACTGGCTAAGGTGCCCTTGGCTGGTCTTTGACAAGCTGGTGCCACATGGAACTTCTCCACTCTGACACAGTGTGCTACCCAAGTGTAGAGCACGCAAACAGTTGGACTTGAGAGGTTTGCAAAAATTACATGGGGAGAGAACTAAGACTTATGTTTCTACTTCAGTGGCCACTATATTCAGCATTAAACAAATTTTTCTTTATTTAATCTTGTATATGTATATATATATGTATATGTACTATTACAGATATGTATTGCATGTTTATGTCTGTCTATATCTATCCATCCATCTATCTATCCATCTGTGTGTGTGTGTGTGTATGAATTTGTTTCAGTCGTGTCTGACTCTTTGTTACCTTGTGGACTGTAGCCTACCAGGCTCCTCTGTCCATGGGATTCTCCAGGCAAGAATACTGGAGTGGGTTGGGATTTTCCCAATCAAGGGATTGAACTCAAGTCTCCTGGGTCTCCTGCATTGGCAAGTGGGTTCTTTACTGCTAGCACCACCTGGGAAGCCCATTTGTCTGTCTATCATCCACCTCTTCATCTATCTAATCTACCTCCTTCTCTCCCTCAACCTTCCTCCCTCTCTGTTTCTCCCTCTCTCCCTCCCTCTTTTGCTTTCTTCTTTTCTTCCTTCCTCCATTTCCTTTGTTCTCTTTTCCTTCCTCCCCCTTCTTCCCATCCATCCTTTCATTCATCCAACCCCCACTTTACTTTATAGGTGAAGAAACCGAAGGGCAGAGAAGCTAAGAAACGTGTGCAGGATGCCATGGCTCGGGGTGGGGTGGGGCTGGGATCTGAATGCATGCCCGGCTGACTCCACGGTCCACATCCTCTCCAAGAGAGGGGTACAGTCTCGGTTGAGCGGAGGTGGTCCCCCCTTGGGGCGCTAGCTTCACTGAGTTGACTGTCTAAAGAAGGGAGGCTGGTAGACAAAGGAGACCAAGAAGCGATCTGACTTTTCCCTGCTGGTCTCAGTGGCTGGGGAGGCACTGCCAACGTTTGGGGGGTCTTCTCGGAAAGTTACATACAAGGCTTGTAGCCCTCCTCCATTGTGGCTGCAGCTTTCATTTTTTCTTTTCACAACATGCTTCAAATTTCTTTCTGTTGCTATGTTCTCTCTGGATGGTGGACCTTTTTGGCTGGAGCAGAAGCTCATTTTAGTCTCTTATCTTGGAGAGTTACCTTCTTCAGTTCATCTGCCCATGTCAACCTCTTCTTGAGCTGAGCTCTGCAGTTCTGAGAGCTCGTATGAACGAATCACCTAGGTTGGCTAATGGCAGCTGCGGCTGAAACAAATTTGCTCACTGGCCCAGTGATGGCCATCGGTTGATGAGAGGCATTCTCTGTGGAGGTATGTTGGTTGTATTTGATCATTTGCGTGGTGCGAACTGTTAACAAAAACAGCATATTTCCCTTCCATGTCTCCTTTCATCTGCTTATTGTGATCAAGCAAGCAGCTTCCAGGTGTATCTTCCCAGTACAACCTTTCTGACACAGAGCAGGAGTGCAGAGCTTCAGCAGAAGCCAGCTCTGACAATAACGGCCAATGGCCAAGAGCTATAAAGACCGTCAGTCCTTCTGTGATGACCACAATGGGGCAGGACAAGGGAGAAGTTACCGATCAATAAAGGAGCAGAGGAGGTGCCCTCCTGCTTTTACAGTTCCCACAGAACCACAGAGAAAATGAGCCGCCAAGGAATATTTGCTAAATAAAACACACACACACACACACATACACGAACACAGATAGATTCTTAAGTGTCTACCAGCCAAGGCTCCTCAAACTTGCACAGCCACGCAAATCACCTAGACACCTAGCTAAAATGCAACTCTGATGCAGAAGACCCTGGATGCGTGAGGGTTATGGGGCCAGAGAGGTGTCTTCTGTGTTCGCAACAAGCTCCCAGGTGATGCCGATGCTGCTGGTTCTCCCACGTGCCTGAGCCACGAAGCACAACACAACGCCTTTCATTCAGTTGCTCACATTCAACTTGACGTGTCTATTTCACTGGAAACTGTCATATGCAAGGAATGCTTTCTTCTGAATGAGAACTGGCTGGGTTACAGGAGCGCCTTAATCCATGCTTAGTAATTAGACAATCTGTCTAGTAACCAGCATCTTACGCTTGTATACTTGGGGCTTTCTTTCAGGTTTTGCATCACAGTAGGAAAATCTGCTTTCTACCACTGGATAATGCATGGGGTTGTAGTGAAATAAAGATTGCTTTTAAATTTGAGGCTGTTCTGTTGACACCCACGTGGATACAGTGTCACACATGAGTGGAGAGCAATGGGGGATGTTATTTTCTTTTTCTGTCTTTTTTCCAGTCATGTCTGATTCTTTGTGATCCCATGGGCTACATCCTGCCAGGCTCTTCTGTCCATGGAATTTTCCAGGCAAGAATATTGGAGTGGGTTGTGATTTCCTCCTCCAGGGGATCTTCCTGACCCAGGGATCGAACCTGCGTCTCTTGCATCTCCTGCACTGGCAGGCAGATTCTTTACCGACTATGCCACCTGGCAAACCCTTTTATGCATGTTAAATAGAAGTTAACTTCTTTTTTATGATTCCAAGCTATTTCACAGGAGACGAAGGGAGAAATGAACACCAGCATGCTGCCTGTCCTTTACCTGGTTATGTTTGATGTCTTCAGCGGGCGCACCATATGAATTTCTATACAAAGTCGAAATTCCAGTAGTTTGAGCTGAAAGGGAAACAAAAGTATTAGCAAAGAATGCAAGACTTCAAAGCAGGAATGATGGTTATCAAGGCCAGGTTTCGCCCTGACCATTCTTGGTATCACACGGACCATTCTAAATGGAAGAAGTTCTTTCGCCCTGAACACCTCATTTTACATGCCGATATTAAGAAAGAAGAAGTTATTCACTAATATAAAATCCCCACAGCCTGTCAGCCTCTTGCAACAACATTCAGCTTGGAGACGGGGTCAGGGCAGGTGCAGCAAACAGATGGTCATCTTGCTAGGGCTGCGGTCTCTCTCTCTCTTTTTTTTTTCCTGGTGAACACAGGCAGATAACAAAAGCCTGTCACCTGCAGTGAAGCGTGCAGGAATCTGGATCGGCCGCTTAGCTTTTAGCTGGAGAATGACAAGAATGAAGTTTTTAATTTGAGCTCACAGAAGGGCCTGATCATCGCTGAGACAGTTCATTTCTCAGCAGTCTGATGGACAGGCAGGAAGTCCAGCCCGCCTTGGCCCCACAGGTCTGCGGCACTGGAGCCCTGTTCCACGCAGAGACGGAAGCCCCGCATCCTGGCTTGTGACCAGCCTGTGGTCGAGACAAAAGGCAGGAAAGGTCTCCTCCAGCTGCCAGCAGCTTCCAAAGACCTGGGCAAGATGCCCATCTGCCTGCTTCCTCACCTGGGACCCTCGAGACGCCTGCCGCAGCCCCAAAGAAGGGCCCAGGGCAAGAGGCCCCCTCATAGCTGCTAAAAGGTCCCAGTTTATGAAAGCTCAAGAAAACACTGTCTGTCGAGTGTCAGCAGGCTATAAAACACTTTTGCTGTGTTTAGCCACTAAGCCATGCCCAATTATTTCGTGACCCCATGGACTCTATAGGTTGCTCGTCCATGTAAATTTCCAGGCAATACTAGGCACAGGGTCAAGGAGGAGACCTTTGAGCTGAAACCTGAATACCTGTATTCCTGTCCATGAACAACATTCATGGACATCTCCTCCTCCAGGGGATCTTCCCGACCCAGGGATTGAACCCGCCTCTCCTGCACTGGCAGGTGGCTTCTTTATCTCTGAAGCACCAGAGAAGCACATAAAACACTTCAGATAAGGAGAAAAACTTACCTTTTGCTTCCAGTATCTATGGGATCATGAAATAGGATATCTCATCATCTCTTCTCTCATGGACACCAGTCACTCTAGACACTAAGTCAGCATAATCTATCACTCTACCCATGATTATTACTAAAAGCACATAATAGCTGTGCAATAAAATTCTTCTTGGGAAATTCTGCTTAGAATGTGGGAGCTGACAGCCCATTTCCCACTTTAAAGCCACTCAGAGAGACGCTGGTTGAAGGCCCATCGCTCCTGTCTTTGCATTACCATGGAAACCACCATCCCTTGCCTGGACCACTGCTAGCATCCTCCTCAACAGCCCGGCTTCCACTCTGCCTAATCTGCTCCTCCACCCACTCTGGTCCCAGCAGCTAAGCCATCATCTTGTTAGACAGATTGGACTACGTCGCTGCAATGCCCTGCTCTCTGTGATTGTGGTAAAAGCCGAGCTCCCATTACCGTCTCTGAAGCTCTGTGTGATCTGGACTCCACCCGACTTCCTGGAGCATTTCCCCTTCTTCTTCCCTTGGCTCAGGGGACTACCCTGGCCCTCCTTCCTGGCCTGAGCATCCAAGTTTATTTTGCATCCAGGATGTTAGACTTCCTGAGCCTTCTCCTGGAACTCACATCCCCAGTCTCTGGACTACCTCTCCTTATTGGTATTCAGGTTTCAGCTCAAAGGACTCCTCCTTGACCTTGTTAGGTAAAGGAACCCCGCCCACTTGACACCCTCTGTCTCATGACCCCATTTATTTTCTCCATCACACCCAGCACTGTCTGCTATTACCTTGTTAACAAGCTTGTCCCGTTGTTTATCTTGTGTATTACTTCCCTTTACCTAGGAGACAAGAAGCTCCTTGAGGACAGAGCTCCTCTGTCCTGCCACTTTTGTAGGTTTCCCCAGCCTCTGGGACAGTGCCTGGGCTCAGGGCATGCTCACAGAGTGAGTGCTTTATTTGCTGAGTGAATGAATGAATGACTAAACCTTAAAAAAAATCTGCCTTTGGAGCTATCATCGGCTGATGGAAAATGTCACTTCAAGGATAAGGTGAAATATTTTTTTCCTGTTACTCAGAATAAAATGCTTTTTGGGGGGGGGGGGAGAATGTACATTTTTATAGTCTCAGCCTCCCTCTGTGTCATGGCTTTTGAGCTACAGATGTTTCGACTGGAAGTTCCACCCTCCTGCTCTTTGGCCCACTTCACCTGTTTAAAGGAGACCGTGCGGCTGAGATTGAACTTGTGGCCTCTCCAGACATGTGAAGCACAGGTACCTCCTGGGGGCTCTGCCCTTCATGCATCTGAGCAAAGAGTACACTGGTTGGAAAATGCCTTTTTTTTTTTATAGAGGCCCCAATTTTGCTCAGTCGGTAAAGAATCTGCCTACAATGCAGAAGACCTGGGTTCGATTCCTGGGTCGGGAAGATCCCCTGGAGAAGGAAATGGCAACCCACTCCAGTGTTCTTGCCTGGAGAATCCCCATGGACAGAGGAGCCTGACAGGTTACAGTCCACGGGGTCACAAGAGTCAGACATGACTTAGCGACTAAACCACCACTACCACCGATTTCCAACTGAATCAACATACTGAAGATTAGAATGGCTTTAAAGGCCTAACAGAGACAGAGACATTGACAAAACGGGATCGACCATTGGATGCTAAGGTATTTGGGAAGCTCAGGTGGGAGAGCAAAATCCCCAGGTGAATTCTGAAGTCAGGCTGTGCAGCTGCTGGGATCACACAGCCCTCCTCTGATGCGTGCTTCTGAACACGTAATGCTCCCAGGGAATCATGACCGCGAGAAATAGCTATAACAGTTCTGCATGCCTGAGTGAACAGCTGACTCTGGCTTTCAGAGGGCCCTTCAGTGGCAGATAAACAGGAGAGAAATGAGACGCCCCCTAAGCCAGAAAATGAATACAGAGAGGGGTGGGGGAGGGGAGCCTAGAATAAAAACCCAGATGGATCTGCATTTCTGAGAGCTCAGGAGAGGGGATGATAACCCAGGCAAGAAACTGCTTTTCACTTTAAAGCTTTTACATGTTGCATTTTGAGGGTGAAGTTTCCCATGGTTTTCCCATAGCAAGTGAGGGAACGGTCTAGAATGTTTTCTGATGCCTGAGAAATAAGGAAGACAGCAGCTTTCCAGATATTTTTTTAATGCACTGAATTTTGAATGCCCCCTAGATTTATTGGGGAAGAAGAAAAACTACTCTATTGGATATGCAAGTTCTAAGAAATCTGATCGGCAAGTAAACACTGAAATGATGGGTATTTGCTAAAGGGAATCCAAACAGAGGTTGGCGATTCATCATTTCCATTCCTACATGGAATGCTTATGCCCACCCAGCTTGGCTGGGGACTTGTTCATACCAATCTGTGAAGTGAAAGTCACTCAGTTGTGTCGACCCCAGGGACTATAGCCTCTCAGGCTCCTCTGTCTATGGAATTCTCCAGGAAAGGATACTGGAGTGGGTAGCCTTTCCCTTCTCTAGGGGATCTTCCCAACCCAGAGATCAAACCCAGGTCCTCCCACATTGCAGGAGGATTCTTTACCATCTGAGCCACAAGGGAAGCCCAAGAATGCTGGAGTGGGTAGTCTATTCCTTCTCCAGCAGATCTTCCCAGCCCAGGAATCGAACCGGGGTCTCCTGCATTGGAGGTGGATTTTTACCAGCTGAGCTGCCAGGGAAGCCCATAAAAGAGGACAAACACACCCTCCAATCTCACCATCACCAACATGATCACCAACACCCTTACTCCTAATACCCCCACCTCCTCTATCGCCAGCACCAGTGGGCCCATCATCACCCCCACCATCACCATCAATGTTACAGTGATGACAACTAACTTTTACGCAGGACTTGTTGGCTTAAAGGGAACCTTCTTGTATAAATATATTATTCAATGATGATCTCATGTACTTCTAGGCCTGCTGCAAGACTGATAGTAGAGTGTTGAACTGTGTTTTTAAGTATAGAGAAAAGTGTTTAAGCCTCTAAATAAGTTTGAAAAATGACATTTATCTCAACACTGGAGTTTTCAAGGTTCCTGCCATTTTCTAGGAAGATTAAACATCTAGAAATATGTTAGATTTTATTTCTTTTTCTCTGATATTTGCAGGAAATGATCACGTACCACTGGAACTATTTCAATGAAAACACACCCACACTGAAAAACCTTTTGAGTGATTCTACTGGGTGAGAGAGTTAAAGAGAAAAGGTCAACTTAAATAACAACAAAGCAGTCGATATCACAATTATTCTCATAATTATAGTCTCAATTTTTCATCCCTGCCTGATGGTGATGTGGCTACCTGGGGCAATAATAATCAAAAAAAAGAAGGCTCAGGTGAATTTTACTCTGCTCTGGAGTAATCAGTACAGAATAGATTCTCAGCTGCTCAGCATTCAGATTCACAAACTCTTTTGTTTATGCTCATCTACAGCAGGGGTAACACTTCTGGGGATAAATGACCCAGAGAATGAGAACCAAAAGTACCGCCTACACTGGACTTCCCTGGTGGTCCAGTGGGTAAGACTCCATGCTTCCACTGCAGGGGGCACAGGTTCGATCTCTAGGGGGGAAAGTAAGATCTCCCATACAACAGTGATGACAACTAACTTTTACGCAGGACTTGTTGGCTTAAAGGGAACCTTCTTGTATAAATATATTATTCAATGATGATCTCATGTACTTCTAGGCCTGCTGCAAGACTGACAGTAGAGTGTTGAACTGCGTTTTTAAGTATAGAGAAAAGTGTTTAAGCCTCTAAATAAGTTTGAAAAATGACACTTATCTCAACACTGGAGTTTTCAAGGTTCCTGCCATTTTCTAGGAAGATTAAACATCTAGAAATATGTTAGATTTTATTTCTTATTCTCTGATGTTTGCAGGAAATGATCATGTACCACTGGAACTATTTCAGTGAAAACACACCCACACTGAAAAACCTTTTGAGTGATTCTACTGGGTGAGAGAGTTAAAGAGAAAAGGTCAACTTAAATAACAACAAAGCAGTCGATATCACAATTATTCTCATAATTATAGTCTCAATTTTTCATCCCTGCCTGATGGTGATGTGGCTACCTGGGGCAATAATAATCAAAAAAAAGAAGGCTCAGGTGAATTTTACTCTGCTCTGGAGTAATCAGTACAGAATAGATTCTCAGCTGCTCAGCATTCAGATTCACAAACTCTTTTGTTTATGCTCATCTACAGCAGGGGTAACACTTCTGGGGATAAATGACCCAGAGAATGAGAACCAAAAGTACCGCCTACACTGGACTTCCCTGGTGGTCCAGTGGGTAAGACTCCATGCTTCCACTGCAGGGGGCACAGGTTCGATCTCTAGGGGGGAAAGTAAGATCTCCCATACTATGGCCAAAAAAAAAAGGTATGTCCTCTGCAATGCGTTCAGTTCCCCCATTCAGGAGATGTTTCAGGCGTGAGGGTGAGGTGTTTCCTGGTGGTGTACACGGAGGCAGGGCACGGAGTTGAGGACCACGGGCATCTGTTTATGATGTTTTTCATATGGCAGCTGGGTAGAGTTGCTATGGAAAAACACTGCCTCTGGGGTAAATACAGTTCCCATTAGAAAAATTCATCTTAGACGCCCTGGATCCGGAAGACAAGTTAATAAATCATCCAATTTGTCTGTTCTGCTTCCCTGCAGCTCTACACCTAAACAGTATCAGGGAAACGCAGCTCAAACTCTTCAGAGTCTTCTGATAAGGAGGGCTCAGTGTCTGTTTAGGACTGCACCCTGGTACCCAGATTTATGAACGCCCTAATCTGACCTGTTCTGAAATCCTTATGGTCTATTTTCAGGAGGGGCCCACCTCCACGTCCGCTTGGCAAAGGGTGTGGGATCCTGGTTTAGAAGAGATCCCGATGGTTCCGGCAGCTCTGCTTTCAAGGCATATCCCCACTCCCTACCCCTGCCACACACACACACACACACAGACACACACACACACACACACACATCAATATGGCAAGTCCTGCTCCCAGAGGAGGGGCGACCCTGGTGGGGGGGAGGGGGGAGGGAGGTGTGCGGGGAGGCTGCCGGGGATGATGGACATGGACATGGAGCCCCAGCCAAGGAAACTGTACAGAATAGGAGGAGGGCTGAGGTCAAGGCTGGTCACTAGGCAGGCTGGCCCAAGTGGGCTGGTTGGATGGTAACTAATTTCGGCCTCTGCAGAGTCCCAGCTGATGAGCCAACGGGTGTGACTGGGGCAGTGAAGGATGAAGGGCATGAAAGATCAATGCCTCCTGAAGGGAAAAAGGTCGGCGGTTCTCACGAGCCTTCTTGGGAGTTCTCGCCATGTTAAGAGGTTGCTTTCGTGTCAAGAGGGGAAAATGTCCCAACAGCATTTCTGGGGTTTCCCGGAGTTCCTCTTCTGTCGCTTCTCTCCCGTCCCTTCCCCTCCCACCTCCGCTCCCCACGTTTCCCCATCCTCTCTCTCTTCCCCACTCCTAATGGGCAAAGCTTGACCACCATCTTGGGTTATGCTAACTGGGAAGAAATCTATGGTGACCTCCTTTTCTAATTTGAGAGAATATCATGAGCTGGGCAATGGAGAAGGTAACGGCAACCCATGCCAGTATTCCTGCCTGGGAAATCCCATGGACAGAGGAGCCTGGTGGACTGTACAGTCCATGGGGTTTGCAAAAGACTCAGACACAGCTTAGTGACTAGACAACAAACAGCAGCATGATCTGGCAAAGTGAGAAGGAAAAGGGGAGGGAAAGAAAGACTGAGGATCTTCCCAGCTTCTCCAGGAACAAGATGCTCTGTGTTTATACCCCCAGCTTCATCTCATCACCAGTCCCTGGGAACCCTGGCTGTCGAGCTCTCATGTCCTGCCGAGCCGCTGAAGCCTGACGTCCCCACCCTCTGCCCTGCCCCGAGTCCCTTCACCAGATCCTCGGAGCAAACATGCACAGGTGGGCTCACCTGTCATGGTGTCTTTCCTGGAAGTGTGTTCCCCTTTAGTTCCGTGGTAAGTGGCGTTGCTGCCGGTGGACTCATAGTCTGTTTTCCTTTCTTTGAGGCTGATCATTTCCCGAGGTGACGCTGGGGCACTTGCTACATAAAGAAATCGAAAGGGTCACTTTCTTTGTGTCATCCCACAGCACGTGCAGTTTCTCACACAAACATGAAGTCATAAGGGCGCTGGGCGCAGCGCAGGTCAGTATGTGTACATGGACCTGTCAATTGATTTTTATTTTTGTTCTTTTGACTCTTCTCTTTCCCCCTTCCCTTCCTCCACGTCACGCAGTACTTTCAAGTTAAGGGGCCATGCAACTTGGAGGCAGGGAACTAAATACTATATCCTGGGAGCATCTTCCCAAGAGAGACACCCTCGTGGGGCTGTGACCTGCTCAAGGCGTATGAGCCAGTTTTAAAAATGAGATCCGTCTTGGTTTCTTTTTCTTTCTTTTCTCTTTTCTTTCCCTTTCTCTCCTTTCCTTTCTTCTTCCTTCCGTTAAAAAAACTAGATGTGTTTCAGAAGAGTGATGACTGACAGTGAAGAATCTCTGATTAAATCAGATGAGTTTTGCTTAAATTCTGAGTCACACAAAAATGGCTGTAAAGGAAGGCAGAGGCTATCTGTGGGGCCATGTAGCCCAACCTCCAAGATCCTCTCCATGAACCTGCAGAGGTGGCCGGGGGCATGGTATGAGGAGGGCGCCTGTCTTCCGATGAGTGTCCTCGCTCCATTTCAAATGCCCTCAATAATCTTGCACACACTCTGCACCCTTGATACTATCTGCCTGTCAGACCTGGAAACTGAACCCTGTCAACCCTTTGGGTCTTCATTTCTAAAATGACAGGTTGTAATTAGACTTCCCTGAGTTTAACAAACTGGTCCCAGAACAGAGGAAAAGATTTACTTGGATTAAGGGAAACAAACAAAAATAAGTTTTGTGTTTCAAAAAGATTAGATGGAGTGGGAGCCACTAAGCAATGTGGAGAAGTGGAGGTTAGGTGAGTGTGCCGGTGCTAAGGCAGCCATTGTGTGCACATCTTACAGGCTGACCTCAGACTGGTCTCCATGCTCCTCACTGAGGCCACTAGAATCCCAAGCTTAGTCACCTGCATCTCACTAGAGTGCAGGCATGGAGTCCGCCCCATCTTCCACGCCTGAGGGCAGTGCTTCATAAACTTGTTTAACCTTGAGATTCACCTGAGAACCTGGGGATCCTAAAATCAGATCCCTGAAATTTTGAATCTGAATTTTCAGTATATGGGCCTAGGAATCCACATTTAGTAAGTACACTTGGTGGTTATTAAGGCTAGGGAATCTTTGGGGAGCTCTGACTTTTAGGAGAAATGTCTCTTTCTCTTACGGTGTCCAAGCCCCTCCCCAATCAAGCCTCAGTTTACCCTCCTGCTTTTGGTTCTACATCCTTTGCAGGGTCCCTCAGGTCCAGGCCACTGGGCCTGTCTGTTCCCTGTCACTTGATTGATTTCATCAAACTTGGTTTCTTCTATGGACAAAGCCCCATGCCAGACACCGGGGACAGAAACACGAGTCATGGCCCACTTTCTAAACTTGAGGAGCTCTTCGTCAGGTCAGGAAATAAAGCCAGAATAGATAAGAGGGAGAGGATCAGTGGATGTCTCAGCCCAGGGATGGGAAGTTAACAAAAGGGGCCTTTACCCATCCTTTCCTGAAAGGCCCCCTACCCACCTCTCAGACCTGTCAAATAAAATCGAGGCTCACTGCTCAGCTCTTAAGCAGGTTTCCAATCCTGGCTACCCATCAGAATTAATTACCTGAAATACTAAAAAATACATGGATGGTACACCTGGACCTTCCCCCCCAGTGAGTTGGGCCAGAATCTCTGGGTGTAAATCCAATGGGAAACCAGGGAAGAAATTTGCAACTATTCCACGTAACTCAACCGGGCTCTGGGTCCAGTTTCTGCACATCCTCAGCACCCAGGCTACTGAGTCTCACTCACCCCTTCCACCTCTACCCTCTGTCCTCTCTCTCCATCTTCCTCTCCTGGGAGAGTCCCTTCCTGCCCTTGCTCCTCTGATCCCAGGTCTACTGCATAAAGACTGGCCTTTTATGAGTCACTGCCAACGATCACAAAGGGACAATATTTTGGAGCCTCTTGAACGAAGCTTTTAAAATGAGAATCTAATATTGCACAGATGGTGGGCTTTATGAAACTATGTCAAGTGTGTAATTATCTCCTGAGACCTCACACATAGTGGTCCGAGTCTCCGGTAAACCAGGATGATACTCTTGGAAAAAAATCAAATCACGCCCACGCGTGTTTATTGGGTGCCTTCGATGTGCTGTGCCAGGGGACTACCAGGCGGGACTCTAGCTGCATCCCTGGGATGCTGGCATCCTGAAAGGCAGTGCTTCTCTTCCTGGGCACCTTCCAATTTATGATGACTCCATCTTCCTAACACGGACTGATTCTTCAAAATTAGAGCTTTTAGAAAGACACCACCCTTGAGCTTCCCAGGCTCACTGCTGTTTATCTTCTTGTTGGTGTTCAGTTGCTTGGTCATGTCTGACTCTTTGTGACCCCATGGACTGCAGCACGCTAGGCTTCCCTGTCCATCACTATCTTCTGGAGCTTGCTCAAACTCATGTCCATCGAGTCAGTGATGCCATCTCACCATCGCATCCTCTGCCATCCCTTCTCCTCCTGCCCTCAATCTTTCCCAGCATCAGGGTCTTTACCGATGAGTCAGCTCATCGCATCAGGTGGCCAAAGGACTGGAGCTTCAGCTTCAGCATCAGTCCTTCCAGTGAATATTTAGGGTCGATTTCCTGAGTTAGGATTGGCTGGTTTGATCTCCTTATCTTTTTAAGAATTATGAAGATACGATGTGTAAAAGGCCGCCTCCATGCTTCTGAGGCAAGTGGCACTTTCTTGAGTTACACAGGGTTTCCTAATTCTTGTTCAGTGTGAAGCTAAATGTTACAAGCAATAACACAGCACTAAAAATAAAAGCTTTCAAGGGGCTGGCAGAAGGTAATTTATTTCAATCAAACAGTCCCCATTCATTTCTGATTTCCCCCACTGCTCTGATAGTAAAGCATGATGTAAAGTTTCATGACAAACGTGCTCAAGGGCAGAGGGGACGCCCTGCTGAGGGTACTCTGTACTGTGTCCTTTGAGATGTGGTTCCAGAAAATATAGTTTCCTTGGCAGGAGGAGGGCAGCGAAGGGCAAGGAAAAACTTTTGTTAAATAAAGGCTTATATACCTGCATGTGTGAGTACAATTATTCATTGCATTCTAGAATAAACCAACAATAAAAGCCATGCCACTTATATACTAAGCAATATGTTCATATTTTTCCTTCAATGAGTTCTTTAATCTTTGGCATTACATAAAGTGACTGAAAAAGGGTTTAAAAATAAGGTGTCTTTACAAGTAGATAAGAAAAGCTAGTTCCCAAGTTAAGCAATAAAAATGAGACAAAGGCAGGGGCAACATAGAAGTAGGGGGTTAGAAGGTATAAATTATTTTGTATAAAATGAGCTAGAAGGATATATTGTACAACACAGGGAATACAGCTAATATTGTACATTGTACATTGTAACACTGTAAATGGAGCATAATGTTTAAAAATTGTGAATTACTATATTGTACACCCATAACTTATATAATGTTGCATACCAACTATACTTCATTAAAAATTTTTGTAAAAGAATGAAATAAAATTAGAAAAAATTAAATTGAATGATTTAAAAGTCATGGTTGGTTATAATATGAATATACAAATGACTTATCTGCTGGTTTACAGGTAATAATAAAAAGCAAATCAAGTATAGAACAGTAATGAAAGCTGCAACGATAGCTCTCCAATGCATGTCAGTCTCAAGGAGGGAAGAGCACACCCTCTTTCCCCTACTTTGTATCCCAATTACAATCAATAAAATGAAACTTAAACTACCTGAAGTTGGAAAAATGTCTATGGAAAACTCTGACCTGCAAACACTCAGTGGTTCTATTTATTCTTATTCCTCCCTGAATGCAGGTCCAGGATGTGTATTTCATGCCTATGATACCTCTTAGAGATTTGTAGAACTCTATCAGAAAGATGTCTGTTCTGAGTTTGTGCATATGGAACACACAGTCACCCCTGTTATAGAAAGAAAACAGATGCATTTGACATTTCTAGCAAATGTCCCTGTCGGGATGGCCCTCTGGTCTGCGGGGTCAGTTAAGGGGCCGGGGAGAGGGACTTGGATCCAAGGGAAGCAGATGGCTGGCCCCGGGACCCTCTTACCTGAGCGGTTGTTGGGGGACACGCGCACGGGGGAGATGGAGGGCGTGCGGGACGAGGAGTAGGGTCTTTGCCGATCCCTCTCGATGGTTGAAGATGAGGCTACGAAGTGATACTGTGACCATCCGTCCTGCAACAGACAGCACAGCGCGCAGTCATCACGTGGGGAAGGCACAGGGAGTCCTCACCTCCTGACACTGGGTGTTCAGAGCATTCGAATCTGCGAAACATTTCTCCAGTCTGTCAGGGGAGATCTCAGATCTCTGCTCTTCCGTCACCCAGGTTAACAGAGAGGAGTGTTCACTGAGACCCACCTCCGGCTTCCTCCAGCCAGCCTGATGCCGGCAGGGCCTGCCCTGAACGCTGGTTTCCTCTCTGGGTGTGGAATAAGTGATCCCTTTGCAACTCTGCTTTGGCTGAAGATTGTATTTAAATGAAAACAGGATGCTCAGAGGCGCTTCCCAGGTGGTGAGTGGTAAGAACCCTCCTGCTAATGCAGGAGACATAAGAGACATGGGTTTCATCCCTGGGTCGGGAAGATCCCCTGGAGAAGGGTATGACAACCCACTCCAGTATTCTTGCCTGGAGAATCCCTTGGACAGAGGAGCCTGACAGGCTACAGTCCAACCAAGGCAAGAAACGGCAGTATGAATTATTAGATATAAGTGGGTAGAAGACATTCTCCTGATTTTCCTTGATCTTAGAATGCATGGGAAAGGGGGGACCCTACAGTCCATAGCGTCACAAAGAGTCAGACACAGGTGAAGTGACTTAGNTATTAGAGCATATTAAAAATGTGCTTAGTCACTCAGTCGTTTCTGACTCTTTGCGACCCCATGGACTGCCAGGCTCCTCTGTCCATAGAATTCTCTAGGCAGGAAAACTGGAGTGGGTTGCCATTTCTTTCTCCTATCAATTAATTCTCCATTCACCTTCCAACATTTGGTTACTATAGGAAAAGCATATACACCATTTAGTATTATGAAAACTAAATAAGTACATCATGGATCATTTTGTATTTAGAAAGCACAAAGACGAAAATAAAAATAACCAACAGTTCCACTCTCTCCTCCTCCCCTGAGAACTCCTGTTAAGATGCCACAGTATTTCTTTTCCCTTTCAGTTTTTTTTTCTTTTTTAATTCAAGCTCAGTCTTATCAAACCAAGATGTCAAATAGTACTGGCATTATCAAGGAAAAGCAGACATCTGACCCACTCTTAACTCCTGCTTCACAGACACAACCATTTTCAACACTTTTGGCTTTTTTTCCCTGACTTGTCTTAGGGACTCAATTCTCTATAAGGAATCATACTAAAAACATAATCAGATGAAAGCTAACCAAGAACAGAATTTATATTCATTTCAATATTTGTGTCTTTCTTTTATGTAATTCTCATTATTGCTCTATTTGACTGGTAGGATAAAGCCAAAATTACAAGTATGCTATTTTAAAAGCTATTACCTAACACTTACTATTTACTCCACGACAAGATTTTCTCAACAGTTTCATGGGTTGGATACTATTATTTACCTCCATTTTACAGAGGAAGAATCTGAGCTTATGAAGTTAATGGGCCACCCAAAGTCAAACAGTAAACAAGTGAAAACTCAATACTACAACGCGACATACCGAAAACATAAAAACTCTAATTTGAAAAGATACCTGCACCTGAGGTTCAGAGCAGCACTGTTTACAACAGCCGAGACACGGAAGCAATCTCAGTGTCCATCGACAGGTGGATGGACAAAGAAGATGTGGTAATCGTGTACAACGATGCAATGGACTACTGCTCAGCCATAAAAAGGGATGTGATCTGCAGCAACATAGATGCACCTAGAGAATCTCATACTAATCAAGTCAGACAGAGAAAGACCAATATCACATGGTATCACCTATGTGTGGAAACAAAAAAACTGATGCAAATAAACTCATCTGAAAAACAGTAAAAACTCACAGCCATGGAACACAAATTTATGGCTACCAAAGGGAAAAGCAGGGGAAGGATAAATTAGCAGTCTGGGATTAAAGATTCACATCACTATTTATAAAATAAACAAGGACCTACTATATAGCAGCCCCGATTGCTCAGCTGGTAAAGAATCTGCCTGCAATGCAGGAGACCCCAGTTCGATTCCTGGGTCAGGAAGATCCGCTGGAGAAGGGACAGGCCACCCACTCCAGTATTCTTGGCTTCCCTGGTGGCTCAGTGGTAAAGAATCTGCCTTCAATGCAGGAGATCTGGGTTTGATCCCTGGGTTGGCAAGATCCCCTGGAGAAGGGAATGGCTACCCACTCCAGTATTCTGGCCTGGAGAATCCCATGGACTATATAGTCCGTGGGGTCGCAAAGCGTCGGACACGACTGAGCAACTTTCACTTTACTATACAGCACAAGGAACTACACTGTAATAATCTATAATGGAATAACTTGTAATAACATAATGGAAAAGAATCTGAAATAGTATATATATATATATATATAAAGATAAAAAACTGAGTCACTCTGCAGTACACCTGAAACATTGCAAATCAACTTGAACTCAGTAAAAAGATGCGGCCGATTGATAAGTTCCCGAAAGCAAAGTAAGAGAGTTGAGAAATGCAGGTGGAGAGTTGCTGTCCCACGGCGTGTGGTTGGCCAAGCACTCCGGGAACAGTCAACAAGGCAGCAGGGACCTGGCCGATGGCGAGAAGCCAGACGCTGAAGACACAGGCTGGGGTTTCCAAGCCAAGAGAGGAGCAGAGACAACAGTCCTGGGGTGGGAGAGGTCTAGGCTGCTGTGAGTGGAAGGGAAAGTCTCTGTGACAGAAGGGGAGTGAGCAGGAGGCAATCAGGAAACAGGACACCTTGTGGGTGCCAGGGCAGTCTGGGGAGATTCAAGCAGCAACAAGGAGACGAGGTAAGGAGCTTTTCCTCTAGAGTCAAGAAGAGATGACCCTGGCCTGAGTCGGGGTTAATGGCGAGCTAGGGGCTGGTCTGGCATCAATGGTGGGAGGGTCTGCTGATGCCTGGGCTACTGGGTGTGGAAGCATGTGTGTGTGCGCGTGTGTGTTAGTCACTCAGTCATGTCTGACTCTTTGCAACCCCATGTGACTGTAGCCCACCAGGCTTCCCTGTCCATAGGATTCATTCAGCAAAAATACTGGAGTGGGTTGCTATTTTCTTCTCCAGGGGATCTTCCCAACTCAGAGATGGAATCTGGGTCTCCTGAATTGCAGGCGGGTGTGGAAGAGACAAACCTGACCTCGATGCTGCTGGTGTGAACAAGGGGGGCTGGAGATGCCATTCACTGAGACAGGGGCCAGTGGAGAGGGAGGGGCTTTGGGAGGTGAGATCAATAGTGCCATCTGGGGCATGCTGAGTTCGAGATGCCTGCGGGACACAACAGAAGAGAATAAAGCAGAAGCGGAAAACTGGAATTTCAGGAGTGATGTCAGACCCGAGGCAAAATTTTGGAGTTCTGTATACAGATATCATAAAAAGTTAAGAGAATGGATGGAAGCCTTGCGTGTGAGTGCAAAGAGTGGAAAGCAGAGGACACAGGGCCGGGGCACCGCAATACTGAGAGGGCACAGACAGCAAGGAGACAACTCACAGGACACCGGGAAGGAGCAGGATGAGCCGGGAGCGGAACCAGAAGGGTGTGATGTCAGGTGAGATCAGGAAAGAAGATGCAGAAAGGAGAAGGAGACCAGCTGAATAACAAGAAGGACCAAAAACAGACCACTGGGCTTGGGAAGATGGAAGTCAGCCTGACTGAAACAAAAGAACTTTCTTTGGTCTGGTGGGTAAATCTCCTTAACTCAGGTGGGCTCAAAAGATAGTGAGAATTGATGAAAGAGAAATGGTGAGTGCAGACAGCTTCGTGCAAAGGCTGACTATTACAGGGAGCAGAGAAATGGGGCTTGAAGAGCTAGAGCAGCTCAGAGATGCTTTAATCCCCCTGGAGGAGATTGCAGTGTTTCGCAAGCTGATGGGAATGTCTCGACACAGAAGAGGAAAAACCTGGCAGGCAGAAGAGAAGGGAACAGTTCTTAAGAAAAGCGGGGGCGGGGGGGGGGTCTTGCTTTCTGACATTTCCTGAAGGGGCGGGGTGGGGATGAGAAGCGGGGTCATCTGCTGAGAGTGAGGAAGAGTTGGAGTTTAGAGGATGGAAGAGGAGATGGGAAGGTAGGGAAGAGGAAGGAAGAGAGGAAGAAGAGACACGTGAGATGGCTCTCGAGGTAAGTGGGAAGCAGGCTGACCATTGCCAGGTGGTCCAGTGGCCGGAAGCTGAGATGGAACTTGAGGGTGGTGGCAGTGATTCACAGGTATGAGAAAACTCATACCCAGGGTGGTGTGTTTTTTCTCCAGCCGCATTCAGGCGCCCCAGAACAGGTGTGAGGAGATGGAATTGGATAGGGGTGGTCAGGAGAGTGACCTGGAAGGAGACAGGGACAAGGAGATGCAAAAGGCAAGTCACAGAAGCTCTGGGAATCTAAGCTGGGTAGAGAGGAAAGTGGAGATTGGGGAAGGAGATGGCGAATGCACACTAGTCAGTGGACTGAGGATCTGCAGAGGGTCGGGGCACTTCACAGATGCTGGGGGTTTCCTCGATGGAAGGCAGAGGAGAACTTTCTGGAAAGAGCAATGAGCAAGAGGGAGATACCTAGTCCACCTCCAAGAAGAGGGGCTGGGACCTGAAAGGTCACCATGTGAGAGGGCTGCAGGGGTGGGTGGGTCCTTGGGGGTGGTGGGTCTCGGAGCAAGAAGACTGAAAAGACAAGGGGTGGGTATTGGATAGGGGCTTCCCAGGTATAGTGCTAGAGGTAAAGAAACATAAGAAACATAGAGGCATAAGAGGATTGAGGATCTGCAGAGGGTCAGGGCACTTCACAGGGGCTGGGGGTTTCCTTGATGGAAGGCAGAGGAGAACTTTCTGGAAAGAGCAATCCATAAAGAGACATAAGATACATGAGTTTGATTCCTGGATTTGGAAGATCCCCTGGAGGAGGGCATGGCAACCCACTCCAGTATTCCTGCCTGGAGAATCCCATGGACAGAAGAGCCTGGCGGACTACAGTCTATGGGGTTGCAAAGAGCCAGACGTGACTGAAGCGATTTAGCACGCACGTATGCATGGGTGCTG